GCCGCCGTCGGCCGGCGCCGGGCGCCACCAACCGACGCCTTCGTCCGCGCGGCCCCAGCCGCCGCCGCCGCAGGTGGAGCGGCCGTGGCTCGACTGCCTGTGGATCGTGCTGGCGCTGCTGGTCTTCTTCGGGGACGTGGGCACCGACCTGTGGCTGGCCCTCGACTACTACAGCAAGGGCGACTATGGCTTTTTCGGACTGACCCTCTTCTTCGTGCTAGTGCCGTCGCTACTGGTGCAGAGCCTGAGCTTCCGCTGGTTTGTGCAGGACTACACGGGCGGCGGACTGGGTGCCGTGGAGGGGCTCAGCAGCCGGGGCCCCCCCATGATGGGGGCCGGCTACGGCCATGGCGCGGTCCGCGGGGGCTCGGCCACGCCGGGGGCGCAACGCCTGTGCCGGCTCTCCGTGTGGATCTGGCAGTCCGTCATCCACCTGCTGCAGATGGGGCAGGTGTGGAGGTAAGAGCACTGCGGGGGTGGGGGCGGGGGGGGGGATGGCGCCTAGGCCCTGCGGAGGGGCCCCGCGGGCGAGCCTGGAGCCCTCCAGGGAGCGCTCTGTCTTGGATGAGCCGCTGAGGATGTCCCCTCGGACGAGTCTTTCATGGGGTCTTGAAGGATGGATTTGCCTTACACTTCTCTTGACGTCTCAAAAAGACTAGCGTTTTCTCTGTCTCCCTGGCCACGCCTTTTGGCCCAGGGAGGCCTAAGACCTGCTGTCTTCATCTCTGGTTTGCACTTAGCTTAGACCCTGCCTCATCCTCTCTCTGCCCTCCGTCTCTGTAGCTTTCGCTGTATTCTGGCTGCCTCTGTTCGCTATATCCCAAGGTAATCAGCTGTCAGCGCTTTTTATCTGCACCCCGGCTCGTGTCCTGGGGGAACCTTTCTTCCATCCGGTTTGCACTCTGTTTTGTCCCCCAGTGAGGCATCTTCCCCCGTTGTCTCTGCAGTGGCCTGTGTGGGGCCCTGTAGAAAACCCCTTGCTGCCTCTCCTTTTGGTACTTCATCTCACACCACCTCCCCCTCTTTCCTGCAGTCCCATCCCCTGCTAATGACTCGCTGCCCTCCTTGAAGGAAAATGACTTTTTTGTTTTGGTTTGGTTTTTGACGGATTAGAAGTACCATTTTCTTGGTTACAGGTAAAATTATATGCTATGTGATTGGTGTAAGCGTTTTTGTTTAACTCTCAACTCCAGAAAATCAGTTATTCACTTGGACACCTATTCTGGTGGAACGCTGTTTTTTGGTAGCCAAGCCAGGGCTTAAGTGATTGATATTTACGCTAGACCGCAGCCTTTTCCCCTTTTGTAAATTTCCCTAGCGTCAGTCGACTCTCAAAAATCACTTGCCATCAAACCGAGTTCTCCTTGCTATGAGCCCTCACTGACTACTTAACTGACTCAACGAAAGAGATGAGCCCATTAAAACCGTAGTGAATCTGCACCCACCAAATGAAGCCAGCTCAGTTTTATTCTGGAAACCGTGAGTAGTAGGTGAGAGCATTTGCAAGAAAAACCAAAATCTCATTGAAGATAAATCACATAGGGAAGAGCACTTAGGTTTATTGCTTCTGTGAGAAGACGTTTTGCCTAGACTGCCCTCAATTCTCCCAACACTTAATAGGAGATTTTAGGCACCACTTAGTTTTTCAGGGAACTGGAAAGTAAAGTTCATTGTTTTATGCAGATCTTTATCCAGAATTTTAAACACAGACCTTTCAGGAAGCTTGGGATTGAATTATGTCAATGAAAATCAATGGAAGAACTCTTTTACAGAATTGACATGCAGATTCAGCACAGGGGGAGTGGAAGTGGCTCTTGGATTTTCCTTCTAGAGTTGTTTACTAGTGTTTCTAGGTTGAACAAAGCAACCCTCTTTCTAGCAGCATTTCTCTGCAGATCGTTTGTTTCTTGCTCATGGTTTTTAGAAGGGGGCAGAAAGTAGAAAATAGGCTGGTGAACTATTATGATTATAACATGGATTTAAGTAAAATTTTGAGATAGAATTTGAATTTGGAAATCTGAAGACACCCCAAAGCACCCAAATCCATATTAAATCAAAGGTAGTATGTTTGGCATTGGGAGAATTTTTTCATTTTTGAGTCTTTGCACTTGATAAGATGTAAACAAATGAAGACAGAAGAACAAAGATGTATGGAGAAGAGATTTCAAAATACTAATAAAATATAATAGTCTGTACTTAATAATTAGATTTCTACTTGAGTAAGACCAAGTCACTTGTCTTCGTATCTTAGAATCCTGAGAAGTGTGGCCAGTAAAAATGATGGTGCTAGGTTTAAACTCCTGGGAGAATTATCTGTAATGACATTTAATAGTAGTAAACTTTGGGGACATAATGAAATTGGAGTTCAGTTTTCCCCAAATTTTTAGGCTGAATACTTTTCCTCCCATTTGTCTAAACCTAAATTGTCTTTGTACAGAGTAGAAGTACAGATGTTGGAACAATCTTGAAAAATACCTTTTTAAGAATACTTAGATTTACTTCTATTAGTTGCTTAAAATGGGCAGTGTATTATTTGTCCTCATTTTCACGGACTGCTGTGAAAATATGACTGATTTTATAATGTCTGAATTTTAAGTTTTCTTTTTCATGATTAGAATATCTCTCTAAATATTTCATAATTTAAGTATTAAAAGACATACAACTTTAGCTAGATTATTTACTTTAACATAGTTATACTGCAAAAGAAATACGAAGAAAGGATTATTTTTCTCTATCTCAGTAGGCTGGTTTTGCTTGAAATACTCCAGAAGCAACTGCTTTTTTAATGCCTACTAGGCATGTGGCTTATATTGAAATCAGTTATATATAAGCTTTGGAAAAAGGCTTTTATGCTTTTCTTGTTTTAATCTTTTGTCAACAATTATTTGCCATTGTGTAGAATGACACATCATCTCAGGTTTTAATTGCAGATCCTTTGGAGTTACAAGTGTTCCCTTAACCATATTTGCTACTTAAAATTTCTATTTCATATAGTTCTTTGACATGGAGGCTGAAATCTAGGAATTATATTTTGTGATTCTGGTCACATTGCTAAGAAAAGATGTCAGTGAAGTCGTACATTGTCAAAACTGATTTCATTAAACCGTGAATACCTGTCTCTTCTCTGTATTATTATTATTTTTGATGGTGTAAAATCATTTGACTCTTGCTTGGAATACGCACAGTACTTACTTGAGAAAATTTAATTTCTCTTGATATTAAGGTGTTATACTTCTGTACATGTTTCCCTTCCTATTAAGACGGTAAATAGTTGACATTTTGTTCACTAAATGACTACACAGAATGTAAGTAAAGTATTTTTGGCAGGGGCAGAATTGAAGCAAAGAAGAATAAGTAACTGCCTGTAGAATGATTTAGTATCACAAACTTTTTTGCAGAGCAATAGAGTGTTACGTCAAATATTAGTTATTTTATAGCCTTATGTGCTCTATTATTATTTTTTTCAGTCACACCAGTAATGTGAGTCACACCAGCCTCCAATGTGGTGTTATTAGAAAGTGAGATCATTTTCTTGGAGTGTTTGACATTAGGAAAAATTTGAGTTTAATTGAGGAGTCCTCCACAGTGCAGTGGTTCAGTGCTTGGCTGTTAACCTAAAGATGGACAGTTCAATCCCACCAGTCCATTGAATAGTTCATTGTTTATGTGTTTTGCTTCAATATATTGTATTTCTTTGCTTTTGTGTAACTTTTTGTTGTCATTGTTAGGTGCCATCACAGCAGTATTTTAACTAAAAATTTGTCTGATACCGGGATGCTACAGCCAGATCATTACCTCACTTTTTGTTTATTTTTATATGTGTGCTTGCATCCTTCTACTGGCAGAGTGACAGCAGCAATGGGCTCCAGCTTGACAATGATTGTGAGGATGGCGCAGGACCGGACAATGTTTTGTTCTGTTCCACAAAGGGTCTCTATGAGTTGGAATCAACAAAACAGCACCTAACAACATTTCACAAGGGAAAAGAGGAATTCACGTAAATTATTCATTGTTGTTTTTGTTTTTAAGTGCTGTTGAGTCAGTTCCAACCCATAGTGACCCTGTAGAGAGTTTGAACCACTGACGTAGTGGTTCAAACTGATTTTGCAGTCCAACACAACCCATAGCGCCACACCAGGACTCCAAATTCTTCATAGTATTTGGCATTTTATTTTAAGTGAACAGTAAGTTCTTTTTTCTTGAGAGATTTGATGATGTAGAGGAATACTTTCAAAGAATGCACAAGAAAAAGACATTTCATAGTTTATAACTGTTCCATCAGTGTATGAATAGTTATAAAGCTAGATTTTAGCATTTTCTTTGTTTCTAGACTTTAGTATAATATAGGTTACAGAATAGCTGTCTATATGATTTAGCAGCAAATGTCCCGGGCTGATAAAGATACTTTATTATACCACCACTCCTTCCTACCTGTGTATGTGAGAAATACATAGTATATTACAGGACTTTTGTTCATGTGGCTAGTTTAATGTTTCTTGATTTTGGCTAAGAGTAGAATCCCTGCAGTTTGTAAGAATGAGAAATGCCTAGGGCTGCTGGACCTGCTAAAGAACCATCCTAAAGTAGGGCCCAAGCCTTTTTAGGAGTTCCACAGATGATCTCATGGGCAGCCAGTATTGAAACACTTAGAACTAGGGTTCAAGCTTATTCCATTTGAGGGTTACACTTGGGTTTGCATTCTTAATAAATACGGAAGATCTATTTGGAAAGGAGATTACATGGTGGTGCAGTGGGTTAAGTGCTGGGCTGTAATCAAAAGGTTGTAAAGCCAACCCCGCCCCCCCGTCACTCCTGGAGAGAAAAACAAGGCAGTCTGTTTCCCTAAAGATTTACAGCCTTGAAAACCCAGTGGAGCAGTTCATATCTGTTGTCAAGTATCAGAACTGACTTGATGGCAGTGGGCTTTGGTTTGGTTATTTGGGAAGAAATGATTTGGTTTTATAAAGTTTTGTTCTTAGACAACACAGTAACAAAACAAAACAGCTTTAGTAACATGCACCTATAAAAGTACTTGGAGCTGTTGCAAGGGTATACACTATGGTTTCTTATTTCTTTGATCTCAAATATAGATCTCATTCTGAAGGATTCCCAAATTCAAGGCAGTGTCTAATAATTGTGGTGTTGCATGTAAAAGATACAACAATTCTGCTTACTTTTGAAGTTGTTTTCTTAAGAAGGCTTGAGGTAAACTTAACTAGGCTTATGGGAGATATTGGACTAAGTTATCTGTTATCTGTAATAGTCCTTTAACTCTTTTTATTTTGATGTTTTATTGTGAATTATGTGATTATTTACATGGGAGAACATTAGCTTTACATTCATCCTATCGTATATTGTTTCATTACCATAGTTACAATCTCCTCCATGCATCATCAACCAATCAAAGGGTATACCCTGCAAGCCTGCCCCCCCTGTTGTCAGCACACAGCCCCTCTCCC